CTCAGGAGCCAAGGACTGATGTCCCTGAAAGGATCAGGAGCATCAGCGGTGCCAACAAGAGAAGGCACAGCTCAGGGTCAGAGCCAGAGCCTGAGGAAGAGCCCAGCAGCTCTGAGGAGGAGGAGGAGGAAGAGCAGAAAGAGGACACTGAGAAGTCCTCAGGCAGTGCTGTGGATGCTGCTAAAGGGGCAGAGGGAGGAGTGGGCAGGGCAGGGGCTGAGCAGCCTCCGGCTGGTCCCAGAGCCCCAGAGCCCCAGGCAGCCCCCAGCAGGGCTCCCTGCAAGCCTGCAGTGTTCATCCCTGTGCACAGGACTCCTGAGATCCAGGTGAGCCTCTGGGAACAGCACAGTTGGTCACAGGGGCTGGGGAGGATGGTGGGCTCCAGCAGCTGGGTGCGCTCAGCTCTGCGCCAGCAGCAGGAAACTCAGCTTGTTTCCGGGTATTAGCATTTATCTTCAATTTTACATACAAAGTGCTTTATTGTCCTTCGCTAGAAAGCCTTCTGAAGTCCCTTTCAGTTCTCTGCTGCTCTGTACCTTGTGCTGGGTGGTTTTGTCCCATTTGTTGTGGGCAGGGCATTGTGCAGGAACAGGAAAAGCTCTGCGCCAGCCCCAGCAGACGAGGCAGTTGTGAAATGAGTTCTCCCTTGAAGTGCTGTATTAAGAAACTCAAGGGACTGAAATTTCACAAATTACAGTGCAGGGCTTGCCCTGTGCTTGCTGGGAATCTGCTCTGGTGACTCTGGTTCTCAGCCATGCTCGTGTGGTTTGGACTGGTTCAGAGATTTCTGAGTCACGGGCTTGCAGAATCCCTTTGTGGGTTTTATGGTCTGAGGAAGGGAACAGGTTTCAATCCCGAGGAAAACAAAAAAGGAGTGAGAAACAATGCAGCTAAAATGTGTGTTTTACACTGTGTAGGAGGCAAGACTAAAGCTCCCCATCCTTGCTGAGGAGCAAGTGGTCATGGAAGCCATCAATGACAATCCCATTGTCATCATATGTGGAGAGACAGGGAGTGGCAAAACCACCCAGGTGCCTCAGTTCCTCTATGAGGCTGGATATGCCAGGTAGGACTTGGATTTTGTATGCAGGGACAGCATTTTGGGAAAAACTTGTCTGCAATCCCTGCATCTTCAGATCAGTACAGATGCAACAAAAGGGAATCCCAAAGCTCCCTGTCTGTGTTTTCATTCCAACTCTAACTAAGACTGAGGCTGTGTGACTGATGCCGTTAATCTAGAGCCATCAGTGAGAAATCCCGTTGTCATTTTTTGGGTCTGCTGCTCTGTTCAATTAAAACAATTCCTCTTTTCCTCCCCTCACCCCTTTAGTTCTGGGGGCATCATCGGGATCACGGAGCCTCGGCGCGTGGCCGCCGTGTCCATGTCCCAGAGGGTGGCCAAGGAGATGAACCTGTCCCACAGGTGAGCCTCAGGAGGCCTTGGGACCTCGCTGGGGGGTGGCACTGAGGTGCCCTGTGGGTGACAAGGACTCTGTGCTTGTTGCTGGTGTTTCCCCACAGGGTGGTTTCCTATCAGATCCGCTACGAGGGGAACGTCACGGATGAGACACAGATCAAGTTCATGACTGATGGTGTGCTGCTCAAGGAGATCCAGAAGGTAACTTGCTGTCCTCAGGGTTGAAAAAGGGAATTTTTTGTATAGCAGGGAAGAGAGGCCTGTGTGGACTTGTTGCCAGTCTTTCAAATCAGAATCCCTTCCAGCACCAGGGATTTGTTTTATCCCCACCCTTGATATTCCTGCCCAAGCCCCTAAACATTAGGTTATCTTGCTGGGGAAAATGGGAGCAAGAGGAGGCTTGGGAGCCAGGCTGCCTTGTATAGGGTGAGTGCATTAAACTGAGTGAGAATTGAGCTGGGGATGGGCTGAGTGCTTGTGGGGTGTCCTGACTCACATATCCTTGCTGGGGCCTCCTGTGCTGAAAGCCATCTCTCCCCTCAGGACTTCCTGCTGTCCAAGTACAAAGTGATCATCATTGATGAGGCCCACGAGAGGAGCATGTACACGGACATCCTGATAGGCCTCCTGTCCCGCATCGTGCCCCTCCGGCACAAGGTGAGGGTGATCCCTCAGGTTTAATTCTGTTTTTCACATTCTGTGCTGCTTTAGGGTGTGGGTCTGGGTTCACATCAGGGCATGGTGAGCTCTGTGCACAGAGCAGGGAGACAAAACAATTCCTGCTCCAGCTGGGCACAGATGATCCAAATCTCAGCCCAAGAGCACAAACCCCGTGGGCTGGAGAGAGAAAAACAAGCAGGGTGGGAATGCAGGGGCTAAAGCTTATGAATTAATTATGAATGAAATGTGAATAATTGGACAGTTAACTCCAAGATGAAAATGGAGCAGAACTGATCAAAGTGAGAGACCCCGTGACCCGTGGAGCATTTTGGGACCATTTTGGTTCATCCTGGGTTCATTTTGGGACCATTTTGGTTCATCTTGGGCGCAGCCCTGGCTGGGCTCTTGTGCTGCCCAAGGTGCATCCATTCAGGCCTTCTAATAAATCCCTGCTTTATTCCTTAACTCCATCCAGTCTCTGCTCCAGGGCAGCCTGCACAGGGCATCAGGAGGGGCAGGGCTCCTGCTCTGGGCATGGATGTGCCAGGGAGGGGATGTTCCACATGAAGACGCTCTGTAGTGTGCAATTCCAAGGAAATCTGACAGAAATCACACTCAGTTAACACATTTCTCTTTCTGTATGATTGAGGAGGCACAGAGCCTGCACCCAGGGGGAAATAGTACAGATCAGTACCAAGAGGTGACTTTTCAGGCAGAACCCAGTTCATTTGAGAATTACAGTGTAAATAACTGGATTCCAGCAGCCTGGGGGAAAGCAGGGTGTTAGTTGGTGCCCTGGGGAGGAGCTGTGGGGCACAGGGTGACAGATGTGTGTCCCTGCAGAAGGGGCTGCCCCTGAAGCTGATCATCATGTCTGCAACTCTGCGTGTGGAGGATTTCACTGCCAACACCAGGCTGTTCTCTGTGCAGCCTCCTGTCATCCAGGTACTGTCCCCTCCCTGGGAGCCTCTATAAAACCAGTGACAAAACAGGGCCATTCCAATCTTTCCAGCTGGTGCTGAAATCCCTCAGATAACCCATTTAAAAACACGAATTTTGTTGAGGCTATTGTTTCTTTTGGGACTTGCTGTTTTTCTTTCCACCTTTATCAGAAAACCGCCCTGGCAGAATCTGATTATCTTGAGAAACTCTTTAAGTTATGGTTCAAAAGAACTAGAAAGCCTCTGTCTGAGTTGATGAGGTGAAAGGGGGGAAAGATTTCGTTTCTAGCCTGGTTTTATGGTGGAGCAAACAGCAGTGATTTCTGTGGGTTTGGTGTTTTGTAGGGTACCAAACCCTGGATGTGAACAGAAATACGGGGTGAGCTTTTCTGGCTGTAATGATTGTGTGGAGTTATGACAGCAGACAAACTCTTTATTATATAAATACCTTAATTTGGTGTTTGCTCTGCAGGTAGATGCAAGGCAGTTCCCTGTGACTGTTCATTTTAACAAGAAAACCCCCCTGGATGATTACAGTGGGGAGTGCTTCAGGAAGGTGTGCAAAATCCATCGGATGCTGCCTGCAGGTAAGGGAGCTTCACTGCTGAGGCCTCTCACTTTGCTCATACTGAGCAGGCCCAAAGTTTTGGGGTTTGTTGTTGTGATTTTTCCTTTTTTTAATTTTTTTTTCCTCTTGCAGGTGGGATTTTGGTGTTTTTAACAGGCCAGGCAGAAGTTCACTCTCTGTGTAGAAGATTAAGGAAAGCATTCCCATACCAAAAAAACAGCACTGCAGGTAATGCTGTAGAAACTTAAACTTCAAATTATCCTGCTTGAGAAGTGAGCTTGCTTTGCATCTAAAAATGTGAACTTTTATTTTAAAACCACAAAATACAAGGTTTGGGGGAAGTTGTGGGTGATTGCCATGACTGATGTTAAATTTTGTGCTGGTTTGAGTTTGGGAAAAAATCCTTTCCAGTTCCCTCTGCCTTCAGTTTGCTTTTTGCACACTGTGCATCCCAGAAGGGTGGGAGTGGAACCAGACCCCTCCACCTTTCCCAGGAGGAAGGCATGCCCAGCTCACAGTGTTCCACTGCTGTTTTAGGAGGAGAGGATGACAGGGAAGACTCAGTGGAAGAAATGAGGAAATTCAAGAGCTCGAGGAAGCGCAGGAGAGTCCTGGTAATGTGTGAGGGGCAGAGTTCCCCCAAGGGGCAGCAGGAGCCTCCCTGCAGCAGCTCTGCTCTGTGGCTGTGCCTCCCTCAGCCCCTCCAGCCCTGCCTGCAGCCCACAGGTGTCCCCTCAGTGCTGCTCCTGCTGCTGCTGAAACTGCATGTCATGGGCAGGAGATTGGTTTAGGTTTAGAGTTCTGACCACTCAAACTTGAATGGAAGGAGCTCCAGACTTGCTGGCACCAAGGCTGCTCCTCATCTCAGCATCTGTTACCCAAACTGTGGACTGGGTTTGACAGAGAGATTAAATTCTCAGACTAACCCATCTTGACAGAAACTGTTGAACATTTGTTTGACGTATCTGGATTAGGAGGCCAGTTCTCTTCTTTCTAAGAGTGTTACAAAAAATGACAATATATAGAGGTGGAATGGGATTTGGCATTGTATGCTTTTGCAAGGTGTCCAATTTAAAAACTGTCCAATTTGGAAATACTTTATTTTGCACCTAAGAAATGTGAATCCTTGTCTCAGCTTTGCTTCCACAGCAATGCAAAGTGCTGCTTGTGTCCCCCTGCTAATGTGCTGTTCTCATCTTCCCTCCCTCTCTCAGACACTCCCCAAAATTGATCTGAACAATTACTCTGTGGTGCCTCCGGATGAAGGAGATGAGGACAGAGACTTTGACAGTGATGATGATGCTGCAGGCTCCGATCTTGACCTGGACTTAGGAGATGGAGACTCAGGAGAAGGTTTGGCACGTGGGAAAGAGGGAATCCCTGTCCCCTGTCACCTGTGAGATGAGTGACTTGGGTTGTGGCACCAGAGCAGCAGTGTCATGGCAAAGCTGTTCAGGTTTTCCAGTCCCAGTTACTGGTACCAGTTTGTACCAGTTGCTTTCCTGGTTTTGTGCAGATGTTGCTGGGGCTGAGCAGTGCTGGTTTGTTTCCCCACAGATGAGAAATCTGACTCGTCCCTGCCCCTGTATGTGCTCCCACTCTACTCCTTGCTGGCACCAGAGAAACAGGCAAAGGTAAAGGATTTATTGTCACAGTGAGCAGGAGATCTGACAGATAACAGTGATCAATGGTCTGAAATCACAAGAGAGATAAAATTCCCATCTTGGGCTAGTCTGCCAGCTGGAATGGCCCAGTGGGCACGTTGGGCTGGGGTGTCCCTCCAGCAGGGTGGGAGAGGTGATCAGCCACAGCCCTGCAGGGTCTCTGAATCCATCCTGGCTCCTCCTGCAGCCCCCGGGGTTGTTTCTGAGGCTTAACCCAGCTGGACAAAGAGCTTCAGAGCTGGAGACGGGGTTAGGGCTGTGCTCTGACTCCTGTGTTCTCCTGCAGTGCCATATACACTGCCATGCCTTCACAGCCCATCCAGGACCACTGCCTG